GGTCCCTCTGGATGGCCTCCCTTCCCTCCCTCCACAGCTTGGTGTGATTGGCAGACTTGCTGAGGGGGCACTTGATCACGCTGTCCGTGTCGCCGACAAAGATGTTAAAGAGCACTGGTCCCAATACTGACCCTAGAGGAATGCCACTCGTCACTGATCTCCACTTGGACATTGAGCCATTGACCGCAACCCTTTGAGTGCAACCATCTAGCCAATTCCTGATCCACCGAGTGGTCCGTTTGTGAAATTCATATCTCTCCAGTTTAGTGACAAGGATGTCGTGTGGGACAGTGTCAAATGCTTTGCACAAGTCTGGGTAGATGACATCAGTTGCTCTTCCCTTACCCACCAACGCTGTAACCCTGTTGTAGAAGGCCACCAAATTTGTCAGGCATGGTTTTGCCTTGCTGAAGCAGTGTTGGCTGTTACCAGTCACCTCCTTATTTTCCATGTACCCTAGTATAGTTTCCAGGAGGGTTCACTCCGTGGTCTTGCTAGGTACAGAGGTGAGACTGACTGGCCTGTAGTTCCCTGGGTTTTCCTTTTTTCCATTTTTAAATATGGGGGTTATGTTTCCTCTTTTCCAGTTGGCGGACTGCCAGACTGCCATGACTTCTCAAATGATGAACCAGTCAAATTATGATAAACCTTATGGTTTCTTCCTCACAAAAGTGGTTGTAGTTGCTGGAGATCCCAAGGTGCTCCTATGTTAGGGCACAGGTGTGAGCTGTTACTTCTTCTGCTTTTATCCTCAGGCAATAGAAACTCTGACAGGTGCCCTGTTTCAGCGACCTCCCCTCATTGCTGCTGTCAAACGACAACTGAGAGTCAGAACCATCTATGAGAGCAAGCTGGTGGAGTATGATCCTGAGAGAAGATTAGGTAAAACAGGGCTTTCCTGCCTTCTTCCTATTAAGCTGACAGCTGATAAAATTTCCTCTGAAATGGGCTGCTTCCTATTCTTGGCAGATGTCTTGAGACCTAATTCCTCACCACCATAAAGTGGTAACTGCTTCACGCATTACTTTGGTGTGCTGAGAAGCAAATACCATCTATTTTTTTACTGCTGCATCCTTTATTGAAGAGCCAAATGATGTCAATTAGATGGCATTAGCACTCGGTGCAAAGATGACCTTCATCTATCACCCCAGGCTGATGGCTCTGAATGGTTGGGCATAATGGTTGGCTTCTCTCCTGGGAACCTTCTAGATGTGGTTCATTTCTAGGTACGTATTTAAATACTCTCCTGTCCTGTCTTGTGTTTCAGGTATCTTCTGGGTGAGCTGTGAAGCAGGCACGTATATCCGAACACTCTGTGTTCACCTTGGTTTGCTGCTTGGTGTGGGGGGCCAGATGCAAGAGCTCCGCAGAGTGCGCTCGGGCATCCTGGGAGAGAAGGTAGAGTGGTAGCTCTTAACTGTAACCAGCAAATTTGAAATTGTCAGAATTGTAAGAGTTCCTTGGAGCCGCGTTAGTTTTACAGTATTAGGAGAAGGTATAGGTGCATGGCAGCTGGGAGGAGCTTTGTGAGTAGCCCCAAAAACGTGGGAGCTGTTGTCATAGGCAGTCTGTAACCAAAGTGTTGAGTTCAGTTCAGGGTAACAGGTACCCCTGTTCTGGTAATTAAGCTTTGGGACAGTGAGTGACTGGGAAGTGCACCATGGTGACTGAAAGTTTGTTTTATGCCACCTGTGTTTCTCAGCCTACAAACCATGCACATGCCATAAGTTGAGGCATGCGAGCTGTCAGCTTAGCCATTGTGACCACTTGGTGTCGGGGCACAATGCAGGCAACACATTCGTCGAAATGAGCCTGGGAGATGCAGTCTTGTGTGATCTTGAACGCTTGTGCAGTCTTTTCAGTCTGGTGATAGCTGAATTGTGCTGCCTGTCCAAACTCCAGAACTAATTTCTTTCCTTGCAAAGCAGAAATGTCAGAGGGCAAGTGCTTCCCCACCCATCTGTGCTTTTACCGCAGCTGTAATCACTGGCAGTCATTTCTGAATGTCAGGTGTTGGGTGCTTACAGCTGCTTCAAGAATTTATTCCATGTCACAGATTGAAGAGCTGGTTAATTTAGCCTTCTACTCACTAATCGCTGTCTAGAAGTCCCAGGTATTTGTTTAAGTTTGGTCATATTTTAAAGTTTCATGTGGACAGACATTGTACACTAGATCCAAGTGCTGTCTGAGATTAGGAAGGTTGAAGTATGTGGTAGCATAAGTCAGGCTGACCTCAAGCTGTTGTTGGACAGTATTCTTGCCTCTTTCATGTTGCAGTTTTGATGCTCCTGAGTTGGGCATCTGCTTTTCACTCCCTTTCAGGATGCTATTTGCTGTTGGACTTCAGGTGTTTGCTTATGTATGTTTCAAGTTGGTGGCTGGTAGGAGAGTTTAGAGGACTGTCTTTGCAGGACAACATGGTGACTATGCACGATGTACTCGATGCACAGTGGCAGTACGACAACAACAAGGATGACAGCTACCTGCGAAGAGTTATCCTGCCCTTGGAGAAACTGCTCACTTCACACAAGCGGCTAGTCATGAAAGATAGTGCGGTGAGTTCCTGAGATAGTGCCAGTTGACAGCCAGAGACTGCAAAGTGTACTCCTAACTTATACAGCTAATATAATAAATGGGGGATCGGGATCCACATGATGTCCAGTGCTGTCCTGATTGTGAGGTGTGTAGGACCTAGTATGGGCCGCTGCCAGATCAGCTAGAGGCAAGAGCCATCAATTGAGTGGCAGAGAGGCTGTGCTCCTCACTTCAGGAGGATGCTGATGGTTACAAGAGATCTGCCTCACATATTTTCTCTGATGGGTGCTTCGCTTTGCTTGCTTTTTCCAAAGCCCCCCCAAAGCTCCCAAGTTTTATATAGTGGACAATAAGAAATAGATATGTAGGGATGTTATTGCTGGGACAGTAATGGCAATTGGAAGCTAAAATATTAGAGGCGCTTCTTGCCTTGTTTTTATTCTCTAATAGCTTATAAGCCCTCCTGTTCCCTACATTTTCAGGTTAATGCCATCTGCTATGGAGCCAAGATCATGCTCCCTGGTGTCCTGAGGTATGAGGATGGTATTGAGCTTAACCAGGAGATTGTTGTCATCACCACGAAAGGAGAAGCTATCTGCCTAGGTATGAAGCTCCTTGTTCGTCTTGTGCCCAGCTACCTGCAGAAATAACAGACTGAGTTCCAGTGAATACACAACAAATGAGTCCCCATGGGTGGAAGGTTTAAATAGTGCTTCCTGATGGGGATTGTGAATATACACCTGCTCAAGGCAGCCAGTGTTGGGCAGGATGTTAAGAAATAGTGGCTGCATCAGTCCTTGGCAGGGTGTGAAGAGTTCCTCAGCTTGGCTTCAGCTGCGTGATGCTCAGATGTGCTCTGTGTGTGAGGTGATGACAAAGTTTATCCATTCTCTGAGTGCAGTGGTGCTGCCCTCCTGCAGCACCCTGATTCCTGTTCTAGGGTCTGGGTGCTGTGCAGCCTCCAGAGACCCTCCAGTCTCCCAGTGTCCTGCTGGGGCCTGCTGTGGTGTGTGGCTGGCTGCCTGCAGGATTGAAGTGGTGCTGGCAGGGTTGGAGCCCCTCCATCCCCACTGAGATGAGGGATGACGTCTGATCACATACTGCCACCTGGCACATCACACTTATGGGCAGATCAGTGTAAAAGGACTCTAGCAACTACTAGCTTCTGTGAAGGGACTCTAAAGGGTGCTTTGTTCTAACCGGGGTCTTCAAAGCAGCTGTGTAGATGACAGGTGCTGACATACTATAGAGATGGTCTGTCGTGGTGCTCAGTGCTACATGGCCTCCTGCTCTGTCCAGACCCGTGGGACTGAGTGGCCTTGGAGGTGTGACACAGCCAAGCTGTTCCACTCTGCTTTTTGTACTGCCTGCAGTCTGGTCATCTCGGGGACCTGGCAAGAAAAACATAATTTACTGGTAGGATTAGTCTCCTCTGGTTTGGCTCTGCAAAGTTTTGGGAGCTGACAAAGTCCTTTCTATAGTGGCGTGGTTCCTTGAGCTGCCTGGAAGTGCTCCAGCAGCTGCTTACAGAGCTCTTCCTCATCCAGTGGTGGTGTTGGTGCTCCACTGGGAAATGGTTGGTCTTACTGTGTTCACTGATCCAGAACTGGTCTTCTGGTGTAAGCAAGACAGGCTCTGCTTATATGGTGTGGTTCATATGTGACTGACGTCCTGGCTGCCTTTGAGCAGGGCAGCTCTCTGAAGCATCAGTCCAGAACTTGCCTCCAGTGAGGTTTTGGGGTGAAATGGTACTGGTGGGGGCTATTGCTCCTCTTTGTGCTGGCAGAGGAATAACAGGCTGAATGCAGCAGGTTCCTGTGTTGCTGCCACAGTTCTGTTAAACAGTTAATGAACTCTCTGCCTGCTTCTGCAGCCATTGCCTTGATGACCACAGCAGTCATTTCTACCTGCGACCATGGCATTGTGGCAAAGATTAAGAGGGTGATCATGGAGAGAGACACATATCCCCGCAAATGGGGTCTTGGTCCCAAGGTGAGTGGTGTGGGGATGCTGCCAGTCCCAGGGTGGCAGTGAGATCCCAGCTGTCAGGATGTGGAGCTTTGGGCCCCTCAGGCGGAGCTGTGCCCATATCTTCTCCAGGGCCTTAGTGTAATTTTGCTGTGCTCTTCTGGAGCTGTGATGGTGGCGCTTCCCAATGCTGGGGCCATGGCAGCCTAGTGCTAGTGGGACCGAGGATTTCCCTCCTGGTGGAGCCTGAGCAGCTATGCCTGAGGCCCAGCTGAGTCTGCCGCTGATGCTTAGGTGTGGGCTCCTCAGGTCTGTACAGCACCAGCCCTCCTCTGGTATACCAGAGAGCCAAATGATGTGAGGCGGATGGCATTAGCACTCTGTGCAAAGATGACCTTCATCTGTCACCCCATACTGATGGCTCTGGAGGGGCTGGGCAAGGAGCTGCTTTTCCTTCTGGTACAACTGCAACAGTGCCAAAATTCAAACTGTCTTGTGAGACTTTGAATTGTGCCTGAAGGGCAGGAGTGTTGGGTTCCTCTCCCATCTCAAGTATGTGGTAGTCATGGAAATCAGCAGGTCAGCAGTGGTAGTTTAACTGCCAGACTGGCATTTCACTGTGACAAGTGATGCAGCTTGGACTTAAAACTCGGTGTCAAGTTGCTGTGGCTTATTCCATTCCTGTGGTTCAGGTGCAGTGTAGAAAGCTGTGGGGATGCATGCGCATCTATCTCACAGCGGATGCGAGATAACGTGGGCCAGTTCAAGCATCTTGGAGTCTTCAGCAATGCCTTGTATTTGCAGGTGGACGGGTTCGGCTGAAATGAGGCAGGTCATTAAGCTGGAGAAACCGAAAGATCTGAGCTCCATGATGTGCAGTCACCCGATTCTACTGCTGTTACTTCCCCCACAAAGTAGCCCTTATTTACTGATGGAGATGCCTCCTGTCTGAGGTTGGTAGGCTGCTATGCAGGAGATGTTTTGTGTGATTTCTTAGAAGGTCCTTGGAGAAGTGTTAAATCAGTAACACTGTAGTTGTTGGCTTGGCTTGTTCCTTGATTACCTACTCTTAGGCTGACTGGCTGAAGCCCTGGGGAGGATTTCTCCTCTCTGGAGCTGCAGTCTGACTTGTTGCATGTTCCTGTCAGGCCAGTCAAAAGAAGATGATGATCCAGAAGGGTCTGCTGGACAAGCATGGAAAGCCCAATGAGAGCACACCGGATTCCTGGAAGAAGGAGTATGTGGATTACAGGTGGGTACAGGGTGTGTGGCTCCCTCATGGTGCGTAAAGGGGAGCCCCATGCACCAAGGGCTGGGCTGGGTGCTGCCGTTTGTGCTTGGAGCATGTTAGGCATTTCTTGCAGTCTCAGGGAATGTGCTGCTAGTGGGCAGGCCTGGGGGGAAGGGCCCCGAGCAGACGGTTATCCCTTTCTAGCCTGTGCTTGTGGTTTTAGAGGGAGTCAGTCTGCTAAACTAAATGGGGGAGGCTTTGCTGTTACTGAGCCCAGCTGGCCCTGGTGCAGGCTACAGGTCTTCCCCACATCAGCCTCCCAACCCAGCAGCTGGTGTGGGTTACGGAACCCTTGCGAAGGGGACAGGGCTTTGTACTTGTACAGAGCAGCACGAGGCAGCGGCTGCCCTGCTCAGCCTGGGGATCTTATCTTTCAGGGATGCTTCCAAGAAAGAGGCAGCTGCTGTTCCCCGTGCTGTTTCAGAGCTGGAGAGGGCTCCAAAAGTGAGTATTGTTAGTGCTGCCTGGCTGTAAGGTTTGGGTCCTGATGAAGAGTGGATACGCACCTGTTCCTTTAGGCTGTGAAAAGGCTTGCAAACAGTTTTCCCATTACTTGAGCTGCTTTGGAAGATGATGTGTCTGACAATGTGTTCCCTTAACAGAGGAAGCGAGAATTGGAGAGTGAAAGTGAGGAGACCCCACCATCCCCTGCCACCCAACCACCAGAGGATCTGAGCAAAAAGGAAAAGAAAAAGAAGAAGAAAGAGAAGGCAGCCAAAGAGGCAGCTGAGAGTGGGGGAGAGCAAATAGAAGTGGTATGTAACTGGGTGCTGTTGTAGTATGGTCCAAGCATGGGAGAGATTGCTGTCTGTCCCTAATACCTCCAAGATAAACCCATCAGCATGCTGCTGTGTGTCTCCAAAGTGCCAGGCTCCTCACAGGCAGCGAAAGATGTCTGTATGGGTACATTTGTAAACTGAACTGTTTGAGGATGGTGGGAGATCAGGCAGGTGGGGCTTGTGGGGGTGGATCTGCCATGGGGCAGGGATGGGGTGAGCAGCCGTCTGTGCCCTGGGACAGTTGGTGGCTACACTTTTCTGCCAGGTCACCTCTGTGCTCTGGTGCCCTGTAACGGGCCAGTGTGGGAGGATGGTGCTGGCATTCAGTTGGTATGCTTGAGTGCTTGTATGGTGGTGAGGGAGGATTGCGGCCATGGGGAGTCTGCACTGCCTCTGGAATGGGGCTGTTCCTCCTGAAATGAGCAGTGGGGGATTCCTTTTTGATTCCTTCCTGACCTCTCCAACCTCTTCACAGCCCAGTGAGACCAGCACCAAGAAGAAGAAGAAGAAGAAGAAACAAAAGGAGGTAGAAGAGAGCTCGGAGTAAGGAACTGGATCTGTCCAAAGCAGGCGACCTCGTCAGTCGGGAGGGAGGAGTCTGAGGCCTTGAGACAAAGAGGACTGGCTGCATGGCAGAGGGGCCAGCAAATGCCAAGTTCCTTTTCTGCTGTGTATACAAGTGAGCGGGTGTGTTTGTCCAGGATATACCCTGCTCAGGTACCCCTCCTCATCCTGTTTTAAGGGTTGCCAGAGGAGCAGGGTGTGTGACTGCCCCTGCACTGGATTGCTTTTTAAAGCTGAACATCACAATGCCAATAGAAGTGGTATCTTCGGGGAAGCCGTAGCTCCTGGCTTTTAATTAGTGTCTCTGTTTTCACCTTGAGAGGGAGGAGTAATGTTTCTCCTTCCTCTTGTCCTGCCTCTTTCTTCCTTTTCTTCCAAGGCTGGAACTGTTACTTGACAGTTGCAGAATGTGTTGGTATCTGGAGGACTGGCTTTGTCATGGCCCATCTGAGTAGGTTTGGATGGGGACAGTCAAATCGGTTATTTGAAGGGCTCTGGTTTGTTTTAACCATAGCTTGGCTTGACCCTCAGCTAGGTGAGATCAAATAGTCCCCGACACGTCTTCAGTACTTTTTTTAACTTTATTGTAAAAGGATTAGGACATTAAATTCCTGCTTTTTGCTTTATAGTGCAGGAACCTGCTTGTTGTCAGCTGATCCTCAGTCCCAGTGCCCCAGTGACCTTGTCAGTGTGTACCTCGTGATGGCTCTTTGCTCTCCTCTACCCAGTTGTTGGAATGGGACCGCAGTGCTTTCAGTTGCCTTCCCTGGTTTTGATGTCTAATATGCTTTGAAGGCTAGAACTGGGCATGCTGCTGGGGGGCAGATGCGAAGTGACCAGAAGGTAGCTGGCCATTACGCTTTTCTAAAGGGCTGTTGGGACCAGAGCCCTGATGAAAAAGCTTGGCCAGAGGCAGCTCTGCAAGGGGCGCTGGGTGTGGGGCTTGAGCAGTTTCAGAAAGACTTGTCCTAATTTTTTTATCTGGGGTGGCTTGATGGGGGTGGGAGGTCTCTTCTCTGTCACAGGGGTAGTACTGAGCCATGATTTTAGCCCCTTTTAATGGGGAGGGATCCAGGCTGCTTTTCCTGAGCTTCATTCCTGCAGAGATTCTGTAACGTTTGTCTTAGCCTCATGCATTGCTTTTGTGTTAACTGACTTTTCTCCCCTCTAATGCTAGGGATACACAAGGCAGTGGGGCCAGCAGCTGGTGGCTGTCAGAACCTAAGCAGAAAAAAAAGTCAATTTTTATTTACTTTTTTTTTACATAAAAATAAAAGCCCTATTTTTGAACAGGTGCTTTTCTTGTTCATCTGGCTCCTGTAAGAGGTCAGTTCATGGGAAGGGAAGGCAGTGTAATGGATGTGCATGCTGCAGCTGGGCAGGTAAATAAATGGCTGCCCCTTCTGCCCAGTGTCTTTGCTGCTCTCCTGAACAAGTTGCTGGTACAGAGAAGTAGTGATGTTGACATGGACCATCAGTAGAGGGGCAACAAAGGCCTTCAGAGGTGCTTAGGGGTCACCCTCCACTCTGGTAAAATCCCCTGGGACGTATGTCTGGAAGCTGGGTGTTCTCTTTCCTCTTTGGCCTGTGCTGCAGTGAGCTGCTGGAGAAGTCTGACAGTGGCTGGAGGGACTGTTTGGTCCTGGCCTGTCTAACGTGTGTTAGGGTCAGACTTCCAGCTGTGAGCAAATGCTCCGCTTAAGAGGTAAAACATCAGTCACAGCAATGTTTCAGCACATGTTTATTGCTGCTCATTGTTTCCCTGCAGTGGATCAGAATGAAGGTCCGTATTGCACATCAACAGATTTTATTTTTGGCATACTTAAAAAAATTGCACAAGACTTTTTAATCCCCTTCCCCTGGCTGACTGCTGAACACACAAATGAGATTAATTTCACCTAAATGATGAAAGCATTGGCTATGGTTTTCCCAGGAGCCAGGGTGATGTGTCCTGGACATGGTCATGGTGGGCTTGTGCATCAGTACACTCTTGCAGACGGAGGAATCCCTTTGTGTGGGTGGCTTTTTATGTTTGCATACAGTGTGTGAGACACCCTGGACTCTGGAAAACACGCCTAGATGATCTTTGTAGAGACAGTTTCTACTGCATGCAACAGATACTTCTGGCTGGATCTAATTTACCCATTGAATTGTCCCTTGGCGGGTTAGTCTGGGACTTCCTTAGCTGCTGCAGTTTCTCTGGCCAGGTGGTAGCAATCCAAGCTGCATGGTGAGAATTTAAATACAGTGAGTTTTTACAACTACAGTTGCACAGGGTGAATTAGAAAACTCAGAATGCAGGGCAAGACCTGCCTGGGGTCCACACCACCTTCATCAAATCCATGCTCACGTTTTTCTGCTCTTCCCTATTTGTGAGGTGAAACCCTTGGATGTAGGAGCTCTAGCATAGCCTGTGAAGCCTCCTAAGCTGTGGGCTTCCCTTGAAGCCTCGCAGACACCAGCCAGGCTTTCAAGGTGTTTGTGGTGCAGTGTGCACTCCTGTGCTGGCAGAGGATGTCCGCCTGGAAAGCTCCTGCTCTGCCACCTCCCTTGGGACTGATGCAGAGGAGATTGGCTGGATCATCAGGACTGTTTTTTCCTTTGCCCTGTGAGGCGGGGCAGCTGTGCTCTGAGCTAACTGGGTGCTCTGGGCTCTGGTGTTACCACTAACAGCACTGCATTGTAGTGCCATGGGAGGTGGACGTCTCCTGGGCAGCCACTATCCCGCGTTCCCCTGGGAGAGCAGATCTGGAGAACCTGTGCATGTCAACCAACTGAGACCATGTCTGTGGAGCAGCAGAGAAAGCGACCTGTGCTGGGCTGTGCATGGATCAGGGGAAGCTGAGGTGAAGGTTTCTCCCCACAGCTGCAGGATGGTTGATGGGAAGCAGCTGGGGTCAGATGCCCTCTCAGTAGACCCAGGAGACAGGCACCCACTGTGGAGAGCTGCAGGCCTGCTCAAAGGCTTCCTGTAGCAGCTGGAGGCTTTCTTCCACCCCATTGTTGACCAGCGAGAGGTCGAAGTAGTGTGCGTATCGGCTCTGGATGCTCTCTGAATCCTTCCGGAGCTGCTGCAAAGCTTCTGACTGCAAGAAATGGGACAGAGCGCTCAGGAATTTTGCAGCCCACCCTAACAGGCAAACTCCCACCACCAAAACAACCCAAATGGTTGCTAAATAGCAGAGCACAGAGCATCCCTGCAGCCTGTCTGGAACAGGCTAGGAGCTGTTGTGTGATCTCTGTGTGTGTGTGTCTGGGGGTTTTGCTGGACTTCTATGTAATGCTGGGAGCATCAGGTTACCTGCTAGAGTGAGGCCAGACCTGCTTTGTCTTGTATGTATCTTTAAAATGCTTTGTGGCAGCTCCCTGAGAGGAGAAGGTTCACTGAGCAGCAGGCTGCGTGTTACTACACTATGCAGTGTAGCCAGCTTGGCCTAAGGCTGGTTTGAAGGTAGGATCCCTGCAGGATGGTCTCTCCGCACTGGCTTTTGACCAGAACAGTGCTGGCTAGCAGAAGGTGTTAATTCCTGTCTGGAGGCAGTGGTGGTGATGGGGCATGGAGGTGGGGGCAGAAGGCTGCCTAACTGCTCTTTCTTCCCTGATGCTTGCTCCCCTTCCTTCCCACCAGCGTGCTGCATCTGGCTTTACCATGCTTCTAAATGCCTGTGCAGTGCTTGCTCTGAAAGCTGCATAAACACGCTCCCTGCAAACTATCTGTGTCTTTACCTTTACAAATACCAAGATTTGGGAGAGATGGCCATGGCTTGTCATGAGTCCTGTGGGTTTCCTTGTTCTCCCATTGCTTCCCATCTCCCTGCAGAGGTTAGCCCTCAGGGGAGCTGGTCCAGGCTGCAGCAAGGCAGATTAGGCAGCGCTGCTCCCTGCATCAGGGACTTTGCGGGAAATGGCAGCATGAGGCTGCTAGCACCACTGGTGCTGCATGAGTTAACTGCAGCATCTGCTGCTTTTATCCTAATTTTGGAGGGATAAGCATCTTAATGAGGCAACGAATGGAAGGAGCTGCTGTTTGTGTGTTGTATTTGCATAACTGATGGTAGGATAAATGTTCCTGCTCTGCAGCACTGCTGCAGCACTGCTGCAGCTGGAGACAGCCCTGGGGTGCTGGACTGTGTGTCCCACTACATGTTCACGGCTGATTATGCTGCAGGGATGATGGTTGCTGGGGGAGTGTCAATCTCAGGGAGAGTCTATGGCTGCAGGAATTGACAATTCCCATTTCTCAGGTCTGGACTGAGGAAGCTGCCCTGCTCTCCTGGACCACAAAAATCCACGCAGGCAAGAAGAAGCTGATGTGGAGCAGGGAGAGAGCCCTGGGCTGCTGCAGGAGGCTCCTTGTCCCCCTGCTGTGGGCAGGCAAGCCCAGCCAGAGGGGGAGTCAGCCTCAGTGCCCTGCTACCCACCTGCTCTGCCTTGTCTGTTGGGGCAATGAAGACTATGAACGGGGAGAGCTCAGCTGTGCGGATGATCTTCAGGGTCTGTGGAGAGAGGGGTGTAGTTAACCAGTGTGGCTATTCCTCAGGGTGGGAACAAGTGCAGTTGCCTGGTTGCTGTCCCCCACTACCCTGTTCTGCTCCCCAGCCAGGGTGTGATGGTGCCCGTGATGCAGTGGTAGGCTAAAGCCCCCCATAGGCTCCTGAGCCTGGGGGTAGTTGGGTGATGTGGAGGCAGTTGGGTGAAGTTGCAGCAGGAGTGCCAGCATGGCTTCCCCTGCAAGTCAGCGGGGAGGACGTAAGGGCATACCCAGCCCTGCTCTGGCCTGGCTACTGGACACAACCACCACTTTGCAAAGCAGCACCCACATGTTTGGTGTCACAGAGGGGAAAGGGTCCCTGTGCGTGGCCTGTGCTGGCCCTGCACCCCCGACTCCCACAGCAGCCTGGCCCTGGCCTTGCTGTCACAGCCAGGTGTGCGCTGTGATGGGGAATACCCTCGCTGCACCCATGTCTTGGGATGGAAATGCCA